AAAAAAGACAGTAATCAAACATCAAAAAAAGTATAAAAAAGTAACTAATTTAGATCAGTTAAGACTAGAAAAGTAAAGAAAGGTTGGGAGAGAATAGAATAAATAAGTGGATAAATAATTTCAAGGCAAAATTTCAGCTTTGACGACCTGCATTTTCTTGTCAATGACAAGACTGTGTCAAATATACAAGATACACTGATTACAGGCAACCAGTATCAGCTTTTGTCACAAACAGCAAAACTGCCTTCAAATGTTACAAAGATGAGCTATAAAAAAGCTATAAATAAATTAATAGAAAATAATCTGGTAAAATGTATTATTTTATAGCAGAAATTGTAGCAGCTTTTTGAGAAGCAGTTTAAAATAGCAATCGTCTAGCAAAAAAAGCCGCCGAAGTCAGATGAAATATGTGGTGAACTACTGACCTTACCAGAAAAGAAGCTGACATTCCAATCTTTCGTGCTTGTGAAGAAAAGGGAAATCATTGTCACGATTCAGAAGCCCCTCATATCACTTTCATAGCGAAGCAGCTATTAAGTGTTGAAGACTTATAAAGGTTAATTTATGCAGAATTGACAATTTGGTACTATTCCGCCACCACAGTTACAGATACAAAAATGCCACGATCAGAAGTAAATATGTATACGATAGATTAATGTAGAAAAAGTAGTTTTATCTTTACTGCATTATTTAGTATCACGTTTTTTGCCAGTCTAAAAATTAACATTTGGCATGTTAAGGTGATTGACATTTATCTCTGGTCACAAATATCTGCTTAATGCTCACTACAGAAATAGATATACTAAAGCAGTTAAGTTTGAAGTCTTCACTCAACAATTGTCGAATACGATAGCTTATCGAAATTAAGATATTCTTTTTAATAAAAGAGGATAGATCATATTATAGCTTCATTGCTAAAAAAAGTTTAAGACCAACTCAATTTTTAATTTTTTCTACTTTTTTATACAGTGCTTTTTAACTTCGCATTTTATAACTAAAGTTTCTGTTATGCTGTATCTTTGTCATAATTAAAACCTGTTCAAATAATATTGGCTTACAAATGGCAAATATAACATGAGGATTTCTTTTTTTAGATATTTTTTAAGACGTTGAATATAACAATTGCCTGTTAAATTATCGCTGTCGTTAGCACTGCAGTCAGCAGAAACTGTTTGAATTTTTTAATTTTTTTTCTTATTTTTAGCAATTACCTAATATTTCTTTTCTTGTTGCGAACTGAGGCAATGATTTACTTAAGGTGCTAGCAACGCAGATTCTTGCAATTGGGGTTGACAATTTATGTTTTTCCATAATCTTAAAACTTGCAAAAAGAGTGTTACAAATCGTACTATATATCAGAAAACTGAGACAATTTCCTTGTTCTGAATGTTTTTTCATTGATTCGCACTCACATTGCTTAAATTAGGATAAGCTATCAATTCCTGGTGAGTTAAGCCAGTTGTAATTTCTAGGGCCTACAGTAACGAAATTTCATCGAAATTTTAAAAAGAAATTTTTTAAAAACATTCTTGTGCGGTACATCGTGCAATATTCAGGCTGTAACCATTGTCATAACGGCAGGAAAACATAATGATTTGGTCAAACAACAAATTTCAATTTCGAGTTTGCCACAATTTGTGCACTTTTTCAGTCTTTAACTGTTTAGTAAGAATTAAGGTGTTTTCTAACTGTTAGTCATCCAACTTCCAAATGGCATTTTGTTACATTTAAATAAGCTAAGATTAATCTGCTTCTTAGGTAGTGTGCTAGTATTATACATTCCCGTTAGTTTACCTTTCTGTCATCAGTGCGGAAACTAGGACAAACTGCCATCGTAGATTTCAAACTATTCCAACAAATCCCTCTTCCTTTAGTGATAAAAGACGCTGCTTCTCCTGCAACTTTGGAAGACTACTTGACATTCAGCCCATTACTGAGCGTTCACAAGGTTTATTTGAAAAAAAAAAACAATTGGAAAAGCAACCTTTTGCAAAACTAAATCCTCACAAAATTTCACGAAACGGAACTTCAAGTATCCCGTCGTCGCTGTCTGTTACACATGTTATGACGTTTTCTTTATTTCCAAACTTTTTGGAAAGAAAAACATGCTTGATTCCTGCAAGGAATGAAACAAGCAACAGTCTTTGACAAATTTCTTAAAAACAAACTATAACTGTTCCTGAAACTAGGTATGCTTTTGTTATTTCAATTTTAGTCACAAGAGGTTGTTTTTAAAGACAATTTCTTCAGTTTTTAAAAACCGACAAAACCAAAACTTCAAAAAATAGAGACAATTATTATTCTGAAACTTGTGACTGAAATCATGATGACCTGATTGGCATTCAATGAGACAAACTTTTTTTCTTTTTGAATGTTCACTTACATTTTATTTACAACACAAATTGAAGCTGGCTTCCAGATACGTCAACGAAGCAGCAGCTATAAACCGATTAAAACGCTTACAAAACAGCAATTATATGTTCTGCAAACAAGAAAAAAAATTTGCAGAAATAAACAAAATTATAGAGAATTAATAAACTAAAAAACAGCAACCCGCAACAACATACAATCTCTCCCCTTAACAGTTCATTAAACTTAAATACAACTT